ATCGGTCGAAGAAAATATGTAAGTGGGTGTAGGTGACCCAAACCATTCCATTTCAACCTAAATGGACTACTTTATATGTATCGTCGCGGTATATGAGATTTACACCATTATATAATCTAGCTAATATTAACTTTATTTTTTCCATTAAATGGAAGTAATAACTTTTATGTTTTAAACTCATTATGTGTTAATAGGGAAGTGTTGTCTTGTATATTGTTTCACTCAATGCTTTTCCATCTTCAAAATACAACTAAAAAATTAAGTTGAAGTACAAAATATTCGAAAAGGGAGATTTAACGATATTGATTGAAAAAGATGGTAATCAGATAGTAAATGATGGTATCTCATTAAAGCAGTATTGGTTGCTGTATGAGATTTTTTCTTACAATCTCACTAAAACAGTTACTTATCTTATCTTCTATCTTCCTATCTCTCATACCACAACCTTCATTTTTCTTAACACAGCTCCTACGTACGAAATCGTTTGCTAGAAATGCGAGCAGTCCATTGCAGTACTAACAAGTATTCTACTCAGATGATGCAATTAAAGAGTTTTGCAACTTCAAAAATTAAAGCACTGATTGGTCTACTTTAACTGGATGAGTTAAAAAAACTCATCGTGTGAATAATGCAAAATTGTGCCCGATAATGGTACCGCTTCTGAATGTTTTCGTGCCACAATGTCAATTAAGAAGCACAAACACATATCTGCGTCCGTATGTGCCGCATTTTCTCCACTTGTGTCATTCTTAGTATAGCTCATTTTTTCTAGCCCAATCTAGGTAGCTTCCAGGTTTATTTTGCCTAATTCTTTTAATAGTATCCTCTCTGATATTTTCTGCAACTACATCCCACCGATCTCAACTGCTCATCATAGCGTTTGATATTGTAAAGACCTGGAGCAACGTAGAACCTCGACACTTCCTCTAATATCGCCTTAGTAAGAATTCATACTACTCTCGTAATGAGGATATCTCCGCAATACCAGCACGTGTTCGTTAAAAGTCTGGGCATAATGGAAATCTACTTCTCCTCACTCTCTTCCGACCCACTTTCAGAGTAGCGAGCTATTTCTATTCTTTGTTTCTTTTTTTTTAGTGGAAAGAAGGCAAAGTTAGAGCAATAGACTCTTTTTTTCTTTGATGAAGTAAACATTCAATAAACACGTTACTCCAATTTTCGAGGACAACCTTATAGTTTAATAATTGATGATTAATTTAATTACTGAAGTTTATACGTCATTTTGTTGATTTTTTTACTAGTGAACGACAAATAACATGTAGGGAACCTAAAAGAAAGTTTTTTATAAGATCTACATATTGCTAGAGTTATAAAGTCGTGACGACAACACATTAGTTTCGTAATTTTTAAATTTTTTAGATGATATCGACGTTCTTTTTTCAACTTGGTTTTAATATAGTACATAATTTCAATGGTGAATTTAGTTTTCCGTTATTTATTAAAATAACAGAGATGTTAACTTCAAATTTGTGTGGAGAAACTAAAAAGTTTGTTGTTTCACTTTAGTAATTTTAGTAATAAAATTCTCAGTATTGTAATAATTCATTGTCCTAATCGTAGTCGAATAATTTAAAGACAGCTTTATGAAGAACCCATTTGCAGGAAAATTTAGTTGCCTTTCTTCCTTGAAATCATGGAAATTGTTAGCACACTTTACAATGTAGGCTTGTCTTTACAGTCTTCAAATAGTATCATTGGCAGGACTCATCTTTATATTTAAAAACATCATCATACCTATAATCATACCATGATGGCTATAATGCACTTACCACAAATGTTTGTATGATGTATGTCTTTGGGTCTATTAATCCCTTTTAATAGGATTTCGTGGTTTTCCTTTGAGCATTCCAGGTTTTAAAGTTATCTACAAAACATTACACCAAATCCTTTTAATTTTGTTGGGGCATGTGGACATTATGTCCTAGTTTTCAAAATATTTGGCATGTGTTACCACATATTAATAAATATTAATAAAGTGAAAACCTAAGTAATAATTGGAATTTTAATGATACGTTTAATTGGATGCCGGAAATATAATAAATATGTAGCTAACGTGGTAAATTTACTAAACAATTTTAATTTTAGATTTATAATTTTAATTAACATTTTCTGTGATGTAACATCACAGATACTCCCCAATGATGGATGGTCATCAGCGTCATGCCTCCATTTAGGTTTAAAATCCCATTTGATAGTACATAATTGACTTCTTTTGACCATTCCGTGTTGTTCTGTTGTTGTTGAAGAGTATAAAATCGTTAATGTTGGTACCGAGAGTTACTAATTAATTGAAATAATAATAATAACAAATATGTAGTTATATGGTTAATTTAATAATAAATATTGATTTGAGAGTTATAATTTTAGTTCTGCAATGTCTTGTAAATAAATTGCACATACGAATGTTTCACAGGTAGCTAAATTCAAGATCTTGCTGCATCCAATTCGTCTGCCCACAATTCCCTCTTTCCATTACTGCGGTATCGCCAACTTTACGTGCGAAACGCTAATTGTCGGATCTTCTGTGATTGTAACAGGTATCAAATGTTTACCAGTGACGTCCAACCAATGTGCTGTAATTAACACCAGCAAACATACTATGCATTTAAGTTACACCTCAACCATTTTTATGACATCACAATCTCCATAAACATTGCCGTTATGGAACAGAACACCTTTAGACTTTTAAAACTTAGAATATTTAGAAACAATCATCATTATGGTGGGTGCAAATTCTCAGAAAAGACCTTGTAACTTATCCTTTACCTTCTGAGAAGAAAGCCTCAGAATATGTAGGTGTAACTAAAAGCTGTGTATTTTTTTTATGTAGTGAGCATAATACTTCAAATAGTTTCTTGAGGAGCCTTCAATCATGTACTGTCACTCACTGTTTACTCATTTCTAGTAGAGAAAATTTCTCAGATTAAAATAATGATTTTTTAGATGCTGAAATAAATTCCGGAACTTCGATATCAAAATTTCTTTACTATTGTCTTTTATTTTCAGATTAGACAAACTTATTAAAAGTTGAAACCGGGTGGTTTTCAAAGTGAGGAATGTTAAATTATGTAGCTCCGGAGAAAAACTGTTGATAAATGCGTTATCTTAAGATAAGATTCTGGCAAATTTTGAACATATCGCCTCGGCCACAAGCGGCCCTAGCTATTATTAATTACTTTGACCATGACGTTTAGTCTTTGATAATTGTACTGTAATCGAGATCACAACAAAACTTTCGCTAACTGATATTAAAACTGTATATACATCTAATTCTTAAAGTCTTGATGGTATTATGAGTGTAGTAAACCTTAATCATGACGCCTTGAGGAAATTTTAATTGTCGAAATGAGTTTTATCTTTGATGAGGGCTGCAACTGACACTGTCAGAAATAAAATGTGGTTAAGCTGCATACCAAATATCCCTGACAACCTGTTTTGAAGCCGATTATGTATATTCCTGATACAGTTACTGAAATAGGCCTCAAATATAGCACCTTGATTTTTTTTCTTCAAGACTCTTAAAGCGATCTCGGCTATTGTATACCCACACTATGAAGTTTCAGCTTAGATAAGTGTACTATATAACAGCAGAGATCGCTTCCGGCCGAGACGCTGCAATCGAGACCACCAAACATAAAATGCCGTTAAGATGCACAATGGGTTTTGAAATCAGTGGACGGCGTTAAAATGCAACACAAATATCTTTCTCAGCGATTTTTGTTCTTGACACAATTTAATTCGAATTATTCCTTTGAATTGAAAAGGACTTTCAAGGCATTTTTGCTATGGTTCCAACAGTTTTATCCCTCTTAAACAAACATCATAATTTATGTCATAAATTTAAGAAGATCGTTTAAGAGCGTTTATTAAATAAATCAAGGTTGAAGTTTTCTAAAGTCTTATGAAGCCTCAAAGTTCAAGTCTTATACATCCAGTATCATGGTACATAACTCTATCAAAGTAGGTTTTCTTCATAAAATACTACTTAACGTTTTAGTTTCTTAAACATAATCAGCAATCAATACAATTGCATACATTCAACGTAATGTTATGCATCTTTCAACGTCAGTACCCTATAAACATTATCATTAAAGTCGTGATTTTGGCCCATACAAATGCTTTGTATGTCTCACTCCAGGAGATATGGTTCATTGCAGCCCACAACACACAGAACTACTAAAGACATTAAGAGCTCAATTCTTCCCACGAAGGCTACAACTAGTTTTCACTGGTTTACAAATTGTGTCATTATTACGTTTAATTAACAACATCGAGTTTTTGTCTGTATTAAGACTATCTCAATAAATATAAAATAAAATCTTGATCACTATAAATTGGTATATAAACTAATTATACATATTAAAACAATGTTATTTCTTTCAAAAAAGAAAATACAGCTTTCCATCTAAATGTTACAAAAAATAACATTCTTTCCAGGACGTGCAAAAAAACACACTTTATTTACGTTTCGTAAAATCGTTTAAACCAACTAATCGTCGACATAACTCACAAAGAGAGACGAAGTGGAGGTGGAGGAAGGTCGAAGTTGGATGAATAGCTTTGGCTTAAAGAAGGCGCTTTGGGTTTCGGTTCGGAAACAAAGAGACCGATTGGCTTGCCCTCTCCGTTAAAATATAAGTTTGTAGGTAAACCACCAAGAACGGCGCGCTCTCCGGCACGCTGTTATTATGCCCCTGAGTGAAACTACAAATTACCAAGTTCTCGACTTGTATATTTGACCGTAAATAAACGCGCCAGACGCCGCTGCCAGTGGTCCCAGGTACCGGTCAGTTTCTCTTCACCACACTCTTCACCTTCCGTCCGCAACGTGATACCACCACGATGTCTTCTTGTTATGTTCCACTGTAATTATCTCCGGATCTTCTCTTTTACCTTTAGTTTCCAAGAAAACCATTTTTTTTAATAACCAACCCAACTTTTTTTAACTTTACTAAATTTGTTTACTTTTATTTTTACAGATCGTTGGTGTAAAACACCACCCCTTGTGTTCGATCGCAGCAATAGCAGAAATTCTTTTTGGTATTCTTCGTCAGAGCGCTAATCCAAGCGCCAACTAACTTTCAAACTGGCAGCCAGCGCCCTAGCAGCTATGAACACTCACTTTCACTCCTACGGGGGACCGGAGTTGACGTCACCGCATCCCCCGTCTCCGGATAACAATAATTACCAACATCCTGGTCCAGGACCCCACATGCACCCTACTAATGGCCACAGTATGGGACCTTTAGGTATGAAAATATTACACAAAAATTACAATTTTACATTTTTTATATGAATTTAATTTTTAGGCCATCCTGGTGGTCCGCATGACCAAATTTCCCACGGCCACCACCATCCAGCCTTTAGTAGTGGAGGACCACCACCGGGCGCTCCACATCATCCCCATCACGCGAGCAACAACAACAATAACAATAATACAGTGAAAGTTTGTGCGGGTTGTGGCGGTAAAATAATGGAAAGGTTTCTTCTTCACGCTTTAGACAGGTACTGGCACAACGGGTGCTTAAAGTGTTCATGTTGTTCCGCGATGTTAGCCGATATCGGATCGTCGTGTTTCACGAAGGGTGGAATGATCCTTTGCAAAATGGATTACATGAGGTGAGGATTTTTTAAGTTAACTAAAAAGAAAAGTTTTTAAAAACCAAATTAGATAGGTAATTATGGTAATAAATTAGGAATCTCCCCACGACATTGTACAGATCGATAGATTAAAATCCACACTTCTCCAAACCAACTCCCCTCGAAAAAAAACGACTTACGCTTTTCTGATCCTGTCGTTTCGTTGACGTCTTTTTTTTTCAACGACGACGACCCTGTTGCTCTCTTCTCATCCGTTCCTTATTCCATCCATTAGCGGTCGTAATCGTCGTTCGCCCCCACCCTGAAGGACCCTCGATTTCACTCCTCTGTCCCCCCTATTTCACCCTGCGCGTCCCTCCGCTTTGACAGAGCCGCTCTCGGAGAGGAGTAATTTTAACGAGGAATAAGATTATAAATTGAAAGACATTTTAAATTTGCATTTAAATCAGCGCCCCCTTGTGTAATCGAGATCGGGGGGCGGAGTATCTCCCGTTTTCCCGGGGGCGCCTTTACTACGACGCCTACGTCGAGGCGTCGTTCACTCGGTAATTAGAACTATCTTGTAGTATGGAAAACGTTAAGCTATTAAACCGCGAGCAATTTATAATTAATTAACAAAGATAATTAGAGTGCTATTTAAAATTGCATGATTTGAATGGGTAACAATTTTGGATGACTCATAGCGGTTGGAAAATATTTTTGAAAAAGTCGTTGAGAAAGAAAATAGGATGAAAGGGGCATGTGATACATTGGGCCCAATTCGTGGTGCCAAATTTGATTTGGAGGCGGCAAAATCAGTCCGCGAAGGGAGCGCAATCAGCTGCTCTTTCTGGGGAAGAATTCGCAAAAAAGGCCGCGTCAATCAAGCGAGGTTATGCCTGATTGGGCCCTCGAAGAGGTCTTCTCTGGAGGGCGTCGTCTTCGTCGTCGTGATGCGACGGCGGTGGCAATTAGTAGAGAAAAGAGAAAGAGGTAGTGGATCCCGCGGGCGGTTAAATTAAAAAAATAAAGGGAGCCGATTTCCCTCTCCGTCAATTTGCGTGATTGATGACATCCGGTCGTAATTGTTTGCGGAAGGGAGGATTCATTAAGGCCGTTCGGATCGACGGCAACAGTGGCGGCGGTTGCGGCGGCAACGACCACAGTAAAAAAGCACGCGATACCCACCATCGCGAAGAAGAGATGGATCGACCTGTCCTCGGTGGACCATAGGTTCAGAACCTATTTATTCAACGACCGCGGCCTTTGCTGATTAAGATCTGCCATAACACTCGCCGTACACCGCCTCCTGTTCCCCGTAATTGAGATATTTTAAATAAGTGTTACGTGCTATTTAGATCGAACCAGATTAAGATGATCGAGTACCTTCGACCTAAATACCCTACTTCACATTTTTCTTATACTACGTTGTTTTTTTTTAACCCGTGTAATGAGGTACGTGTAATCGGAGTTAATGCTTTTTTTGCATCAACTTGTTACTCCTAAGTACATAAATCCTTAAGATTTACGTCTTAAAACTGGACTATTAAATGCGTCAACATAATTTTGTCGAAAATTGTATATTCATGTCGGTCGAATTTAATCCGATTAATTTACAAAATGCGTACGTAGATAAAGTGAATTGAGTGGATAGGTTGACGTTTAGATTTTAGAGTGTACATAATACGTCACCGACGGCGTTTCTAAGAAGCTCATTAGAGGAATAGACCGTTCCTCGAAGCGGAAAACTCGAAGACTTCGCTAATAAGCTAAACCGCGCAGCTGAATGCCGTCCCGTTTTTCCAAGAGTAGTAACCGTCATAGGACTTGACGGTTTATTGCCAATTTAGAATATCCGTCGGGGGTGCAGAACCAATGAGGACACGGTGTGTCCCCTCACCGTTATAAATACGTAATGACGCGTAATTGGGGAGGATTCATCAAAATGCATTTTTAATGCGCGGTCATTTTAAATCGACTGAAAATAAATAGGCAAACGTATTCCCCATCATAATATTTACCTCATCCTATACGTGCTTTTCATTCCATTCTATTGTGCCACCCAACGTTGTTGAGTGAGGATGGGTTTCGTTCTCTCTAATGAATTCCTCCGGGGAGCAGAGCGGATCGCAGAGAGGTAAAAGTGGGGAGAGGCGGTGGCAACGCGAGGTTCCCCCCTTAATTGGCCCCGGTCGCTTCGCAATTATCCAGGAAACGAGACGTCGGCGCGGCTGCACAACTTATATAATAAACACCGCTAATAAAGTAAACAGCGCGTCGGCGGGACGGAGACGGAACGAGAGAGATCCCGGGGCGTGGAGGAGGCATTGGGGGCTGTTGGGACGAAGGGAACTGAGGGCAAGGTAGTAATAAATCCGAGCCCCTCCGCTAATTGGATGGATGTTTGACAGGGCCGACGCGTATTATCTTCGTCCCGCACTCGCTACCGCCACATCCCAATCAACTCGATTCCTATTATACCTACGCTAACTATCCGCTCGTGTGCGTGCTCAAATACCTTTTAAAAACGACCCCCCAATTGAGCTAACTAGACATGACGCTCGAGATGTGTGTTTGCGGTGAAACATTTTCATTGCAAATTTACATTTACCAATACAAATTCATTAATCAATTTAATCAATGATTAGTTTACATATTATTACGCAAGATGTTGCTTTAATTTGTTTAATGAAGTTATTAACTGAAAAATACATGTGTTACCGCCAATTCCGGCACACCTAAGATTGACTAGGCAATTCGCATATTGCCCGAGCAGTTTTGACCAAGTCCGAAATAACTTTTAATTTCGGGGTTTTCCTAGTATGCAACTAGGCAAACTTAGGTGTGCCAAATAAGGCTCATGCAAAGTCCGAAAATATGAATTAACTTCGAACTTTGCCTAAGTGAGTTAGGCAAATTAAGGGTGCGCAGAAAATTTTGGGTGCGCACATTCAAAACACTGTTTACTGCTAACAAAAAGAAACAAATACAATTCATAATATTCAATAAAAATATACAAATCAATAAAATAATTAAATTAATCAATAATAATTCAATTAGATATGTTAGCACAAATGGTGAAAGAACAGATAAAAATCTGGTTTAACTTCCACCGTGAGACAAATAAAGAACAAACAAACAAAATAAGCAATAATGAAACTTATTTACATAGTACCAAATTTCATAATCATAACCCGTCTTGAAACACTAAAGATCTAAATTTCGCGATAGAGCCAGCACACCTCACGGAATCAGGGATTACGTTCCACACCCTAGCCACTTGATACGAAAACGTTTGCTTAAATTTGGTTGATTTGTGCCTAGGAATGGTAACACAGGAACGATGCCCCAAATTAAGGTGGTGAACATCATTCCTGAACTTTATTTTATTAACCAAATAATGAGGCTTCCCATGAAATAACACTGAATAAACCAGACACAGATAGTGAGTAGTGAATCTCTGTCCCATATTAGCCACCTACAAAGCAATAGCTTATCCGAAATATGTTCTCTACGCCCGATTCCATAAATAAAAGGTAAACAAGAATTTTGAAGTTCTTGCACCCTACGAGCACTGTCATACGATAAACACGGATTAAACACAGCACTACAATAATTAAAATGGGAAAGAACTAGTGAATCACACAAAAGTCGCTTCAATTCACAAGAAAGAATATTCCTGTTACTATAAAGCGCTTTCAACGATCCAAATGCCCTACCACAAAGCATACCCACATGACCAGAAAAAGACAGCTGCTCATCAATCACCACACCCAGGCTTTTAACAGAAGTTTCAAATATTAATGGCTGATTTAAAATATCAATATTAATGCCAACTCTATCAACATGTAACGCATCCTTTTTAGTAAACAAGATACTTTGCGTTTTATCGGATTAATCGGATTAATCAGCAATGATCGTTGCTCAATGCGAGCACACAGTTGCTGCAATTCACCAGTTGCAGACTGCACACATCCGGCAACTCATGCGGAAAGAAGCTGTGCATCATCCGCGTACAAATGATACGACAGGGCACTTAAATCAGAAAACATTATACAAGTAAAAATTGTGAAAAGTATGGGACTCAAGATAGATAGAAGACGAGATTGTATCATTCATCCTAACTGACTGCCGCCTATCCTGAAGATAATTCCGAAACAACTCAACACCCGAACCACTAATTCCAATGTAATGTAAGATTGACAGCAATAGACCATGATTTAAAATATCAAAAGCTTTAGTGAAGTCCAAAAGAATCAACATTGTCGACCTTCCCTCATCAAGAGACCTAAAGACGTCAATAAGGTCCAATAGCGCAGCAGCATAGCTATAGTGTTTTCTGAAACCTGATTGTCTGTCAGGTAGAATATTATTCTCATTCAAGTGGCCACAAAGCTGTTCAACAATCACTCTCTCAAGTACCTTAGACAACGCTGGAAGTATTGTCACAGGCTGTAAATCCTTCAGAACCAACACCACCTGATTTTAAGGATGATAAATTCTCAATTTTATTAGTTGAGACATGCTCAAACGTCAAGTCACCATTCACACTACGCATCCTATTATCACGATAATTTTGAGCAGAATCAACAAAAAATTTATTGACGGTTTAAGGATCAGTTAAGCCACCCGGCAAAACAGTAGAAGATGAATTAACAACATTGTATCTTTTTAAGCGCTTGGGCATTCGGATGGCATTCGTAACCAAGTTGCGAAGATTCTTGTAATAAACAAAGTGTGCTTGTTCACGTGTTCGTTTATATTTCTTAAACGCAGCATTTTTACTTTTATCATCTTTTAATATTACAGGTTCCAAGGTAAAGAGTTTTTCTTTACAACCGGAGTGACAGTAGGGGCATAAACGTTAAACAAAGCTAATAATGTTTAATTAAAATAATTAACCTTCTCATCAATAGAGATTAACTCAAAAACTGTTTCCCAATTCATCCTGTTCAAATCATTATTAAAATCCTCGATATTAATATTACGTAAGTCACGATAGGTAATCGTTTTAGGAGAAGGAATGTTTTTTCAACCAAAAAGTGATCCGAAAATCCAAGATCATCAGTATCACTCTGACCCCAAAAGACCCTCCGTCACAAAAACCAGATCAATTAATAATTCAGAGTCACTCGAAACTCTAGAAACAAGTCTGACACGACTGAAAGTCTGTTGCAAGTTTCAAGTTGCAAAGCACTTTAGTCCTCTTACATTTGCATAAATTTGTTTGACATTTCTTAGCCCCCGAAGGCAGAGTTTTGGCTACTAATCTCACGCAGAGAGAATTCAACCTCTGGGTCGTCTTAAATTTTCAAAAGTATGTCTTTACACGCCTGAATTTGATTTCTCGAATACAACGAGGCAATAATTCTTTTTGGTTCCAATTTTATAAAGTTCACATCATTTGTTGTCTCCAAAACTACGCCAATTAAGTTTCGTGCATTTCCTTTGCTCCTGTCAAGGCTTGAAACATGCACAGTAACTGATTTTCCAACCTCAATCGGGGGAAATTTTTTATTAGATGCAAATTTCGACAGCTTTCTTTTGATTTGAAATCATCGTTTTTCTTTTTGCACACCGAAGACATAAAACTGATGCACCGTAACCCTCGTTGGTATTACTTGTACTCTAGGCATAGATGACATGAATATCCTGCGCACAGCTATAACACTTGTGGAGTCCTGAAGTTTCTCTGTTGCATATGCAACAAACAGGTTCCAATTTTGCCATATCAACAGTAAGGGTAGGAGTTGTTCTTTTAGTATTTTCTGCATCAGGAAACGGAGTTGATCCTGCAAGACTTTCTGCATAAGGATCACTGGTGGAATTCTCCTGCTCCACAGTAGTTGCAAGTGCCTCTTCAAAGATCTTTTTCAGTTCTAAGAACTTTATTGCTAGAATCAGACAATGACTGTATTCTGATATGATCGTTTCTTCCTTTAATGAAATAGAAACTGTTATTTTTTTTGTACTGAACTAAAATTATTGCTTACCGAACATCAGTTCAAAAGGTGTTTGTCTTATTCCGCTTTTTCTGAAGCTGACAAAAACGAAGACTTTCGCTCCAATGCTTAGTCTTATTGTCTTCCATCCACGCAAATAACATATCTTCTACGTCCCGGTTAGATCTCTCCACACTCCCTTGACTTTGCGAGTGCCACACGCTGAAGAGTTAAGGGAAACTCTTCAGCTACCCGATTAGCAAACTTTTGTCCGTTGTCCGATTGCAACACGCTGGGAGTTCCCAAAATACAAAAAACATCCAATAATGTGTGAGCCACTTCCTCTGCTGTCTTCGTCTTCAATGGACGTAAAATTATAAATATAGTTAGATGATCCTGGTAGTTAAAAATATATCGGAAATTACCATCACGACAAGTCTGCATATCTATGAGATCGACCTGACCTCGGGAATTCACTTCTTTAAATAACAGGGGTTTAACTTTAACTCCTTTTCTAGGCTGGTTCCTTTTTTTGTGGCATATTTGTCAGAGCTCTAAATAGCAAATTATTGTTTCTCGTGTTACGTTCACATATTCATTGCCCAGCGCTTTTATCATTCTATCTCTTCCACCGTGCCCACATTCACGATGTGGATTACGTCAAAAAGATTTTTAATTTACACTTTCTTAGACTTTGCCTGACCCTCATTTGGCACACCTGTGTTTGGCTAGTTGCATACTAGGTAAACCCCGAAATTAAAAGTTATTTCGGACTTGGTCAAAAATGAAAATAACACATGCACCTTATCTCGTTTAGTCTCGTTATGAGTTTTGAGTTCGTTTAGATATCCGTCATTCAGAGAGTGTGGTAGCGAGAGGGGGGCCTCTGGTTCAGTCCCGTTTGGCCCCGCTTGGCCCCGGGGAACAACTGCCTAACTCGATTTCAGCTGGAGCGCCGCGGGCCCTCAATCAATAGAGTAGTCGTGGCGGGGACCAATTACATGCCCACTTTCCCGGTAACGCCGTTTGCATACATTTCGCCCGCCAGCGCGACTTCGACCGGACCCCGTTCGTTCTCTTGTCGCTCGAACGTTTAACACCGTTTCCCCTTCGCCGCAACCACCCTCACCCACCCTATAAACCCCGCCCGCTAATGGATCCTGTGCAAAAGGAAAAACCGACGTCGGTCGGCGACGGCAATAATGTAAAACGTCCCGAGGAACATAATATCTGTCTGTCAGTGGGCGCTGCTAAGCCGCTGGATCCAATATTTTCCTGCTCCCCAAAGTCACGTGCGCAATCGGTGGAGGAAGCAGCGGCGGCGGCCGAACATAATTTGACAGCGAAAAGGATGATTGGTGCCACCCCCTCGCTGCCAAGAAGTCCCGATTAGGTAATCTAATAGTCGCCGCCACCATCGTGGTAGGATGACACGTGCACCATCTGGCAGAGGAAGCGTTCGCCTGATTGTGCTTGATTGACTGTTACCAGCAACTTTTCTTTTTCTCCCCTTTTCTCCTATCTTCATAGGAATACAGTATCTACACGAAAAATGTTCTTAGATTTTCATAAAATTTGATGATCATTTCTTCTTTCTATACTTATTTGTATTAATATAGTTTTTTTTAAGTATGCAATAGTAATATTCTAATCGAAACTAAACTAATTGCGCCCGCAGGTTATTCGGAAGCAGTGGGGCGTGCGCTGCGTGCGGCCAAACGATTCCCGCGAGCGACTACGTGATGCGTTCAGGAGGCAGCGGCGGTGGCGGAGGTGGTGGCGGCAATAACGGCGGCCACCAAGCGACGGCGCAACATCCCGGAGGCGGTGGCGGTGGCGGCCACGTCTTTCACCTCAAGTGCTTCGCGTGCAGCAAGTGTGGGGCACACCTGGTGCCTGGAGACCGATACTACATGCTCTCGGGGAACCTCGTCTGCGAACAGGACTGGCACAAGCTTTTCAAAGCGACGGCGGCGCCGACAGTGCGAAAGGGCAAAGTCGGAAGGCCGCGCAGGAGTCGCGATTGAAGCACAATGGACCCACCGTACTATTCCTCGAACACAGGTAAGAAAAACTAATTACGTAACCCTCAACCGCTATCGTTATTATTAGCTATATCTTGTTTAACCCCAATATTACATTTCAATTGTTTTCTTAAGTAAGATAACTGTTTATTTTATCCAAGAAATAAAACTAAAAATAAATAAATCGTAAAGAACAAAAATGTCGTATAAAAATATGGTCTTTTCTTCTTATCAACCCGTAAAAGGCACGTTGACAAACTCGCTAATTACCATGTGAGATATGTGCTTAAGAGGAATAACATGAACACCTAAAATGAAGAAAATCTGCGTTTTATGTATTTTGAGAAAATTGTGATATACCTTTTTATTATACCATTTTTTCAACTGAATGAAATTTACAGATAGTTTTGACACACATTTGGCAAGTAGTGGTATACTTTTTACTAGTTTTCTGGGACATATATAACATCGTTGACGTTTTGGAGGCTGTGATGGACCTTCTAATGTTGAATTAGAAGGTTTCAGTACATTGTGTTAAGGGCACAATTTGCTACAACTTTTGTTGTAAAAGTTTTTCTGTATCATGCTCCGGATACCGATTTTTTTTTGAATACTCTTCTAATTTTCATATTTTCGAAAAATTCTCTACATTGCTGCATCAGGGAGCAAAAATGTATCAGTACATTGTGTTAAGGGTACAATTTGCTACAACTGTTGTAAAAGTTTTTCTGTATCATGCTCCGGATACCGATTTTTTTTGAATTCTCTTTTAATTTTCATATTTTCGAAAAATTCTCTACATTGCTGCATCAGGGAGCAAAAATGTATCAGTATATTGTGTTAAGGGTACAATTTGCAACAACTTTTGTTGTAAAAGTTTTTCTGTATCATGCTCCGGACACCGATTTTTTTTAACACTCTTCTAATTTTCATATTTTCGAACAATTCTCTACATTGCTGCATCAGGGAGTAAAAATGTATCAGTACATTGTGTTAAGGGTACAATTTGCTACAACTTTTGTTGTGAAAGTTTTTCTGTATCATGCTCCGGGTACCGATTTCTTTTGGCACTCTTCTAACTTTTATATTTTTGAAAAATTCTCTACATTGCTGCATCTGGGAGAAAAAATGTATCAGTACATTGTGTTAAGGGTACAATTTGCTACAACTTTTGTTGTAAAAGTTTTTCTGTATCATGCTCCGGATACCGATTTCTTTTGACACTCTTCTAATTTTTATATTTTCGAAAAATTCTCTACATTGATGCATCTGGGAGCAAAAATGCTTCAGTATATTGTGTTAAGGGTACAATTTGCTACAACTTAAGAGAATTATTGTTAAGTTATTATTGAAGAATAAAGAATTAGAAGTGTGTGAGCGATAGTAAAAGTAGTAATGTCTTTGACAGAATAAACTTCAGGCCAAACTAGGCAAGGTACTAAATCTAGGTGAATGTGTTCAAATCTGCCTCCCGGAATAGCAACTTTCTGAAGAGGGGGATTTGGTATATTTTTAATTTTTGCACGTTGTAATGTAGGCAAGTTTTTGTCTATAAATTTACATTTCTGGCCATGTGAGGCCAATAGAAGAGGGTTTTTAAACTGTGAAGGGTTGAATGAAAACTAGGATGAGAAATATTGTAAAATTGGCCAAATATAATTTTTCAAATATAATTGAAAAGATGTTTTATTAGAAAATTGTTTCTTAAGAAGGTGATTTAATTCTTCATCGTTGTTCTGTGCTGTTTGAATAGTTTCAGCAGCAAGATAGGAATTCGAAAAATATTCAATATATATTCTTGAAAGGGTATCAGCAACAATATTTGAATTTCCTTTAATATGTTTGATCTTTGATGTAAATTGAGCAATGTAGCTTAAATAGCGAGATTGACGAGGAGATTTTTCTGAACTGGAATAAAAAGAATTTATCAAAGGTTTATGGTCGGTATAAATGATAAAATAATTAGCGTAAAGAAAATGTTTGAAATATTTTATTGCTGAAAATATTGCTAGAAATTCACGATCGTAAGTAGAGTATTTCATTTGAGCGGTAGAAAATATTTTAGAGAAGAACGCTGTAGGAACGGTATTGTCATCTATTGTTTGAGAGGGTACTGCTTCCATGGCAGTATTAGAAGCATCTATAGTTAATGATTTTGTAGATAGATGAGCTGAAATTACTGATTGTGACAAAAGTTCTTTTGCTGTAGTAAACGATTCGATTTGTTTTTTCGACCAATTAATAATTTCTTTGGAATTTCTAAGAGAATTTGCCAAATCATAAAGAGGTCGAAGAATATCTAAAAAATTTGGAACGAATCTGTGATAATAGTTAATCATACCTAAAAATCACTTTTATCTTTTCCTAAACAAAAGCTCATGATTTGCTTTGTAGATGATCTTTTATGAGGTCTTCTCCAGGACATCTTACGAACTCAAGTCGAGACATTTCTTTCTCCGGAGCTGAGCTTTTCAGTCATGTATAGCCATTTACCGTAAATATATCCATTAACTATCCATTATTGCAAACCATATTGCTATATCTTCCTGTTCTGTAAAGGGCACACTCCTAATCTAAAGTATCTACACTCCCTTTCGTTGAGTTGTCAAATAATAGCATATCAGGTTTCCCAGTTTTATTGTCCACTTTGTTATCGTGGTGCATGAATGACAAGAGTATTACGGATTTACTCACTACTTTATCATTAGTGAAACCAAATATTGTATGTTGACGTTTATTGTTTGGCAAAAATTCATTGGGTATTTCTCTCCTATTTTTTCTTACTGTGCCTACGGAGGTAAGACCAACTTTTTGCAATTCCCTTGTAAGCTCGATGGAAGTGAACCAGTTATCACCTGAAATGTTGCGGATAGTATTTATGACTCGTGTAATTAAATGTAATAAATACTGATTGCGTGGGAATATATAGTTTACGGGGTTTTAGATTATTTGTTATTTGACATAATTTTTAGACCGTACTTTGAGGTTTTCCTTTCAGGTACATTCTGAACGAACATCATCCACTAAAACCCACCAAAGCTTCGTCAACGGTTAGAAATTTTGCAGGGGTGTAGTTTGAGATCGAGATTTCGACAAATTTGTTGAACTTATTTGTCACCTGCCAGTTTTCTAGTTTCTCGCATTTCCTTATCATCAAATCTTAGACAAGATAGTAAAAACATAAAACGAGTTTTCGACATTGTTGCTCTGAATATTGGTCTTCCTAAGCTACTTGTCGACCAAAACGATGATACATCCTTATGATTGCATTTGAAAGCTCCAGCCAGGTAAACGAGTCCAAAAAACGCTTTTAGTTGTATACGATCACCAACAAACGTGGATGGACTTCGTAATTCGTTTTTTCGCTACGAGTTTGAACATTATCTTCCTCTTCAGAATCGGAAATTTCCGAAATGTTCACCATCTTAATCATTCAACCCATCATCATCGTCGTAAATAATTTGTTCAATATCTTCACTGTTGGTATATTCAACGTATTCAATATCTTTATTTCATCACTTCTTCTGCAGACATTAATTTGCCCTCTCTTCGTATAAGTTCTTTTGGATTACTCATTTTTATTCCAAAAGCAAATATATTCAAACAAAATTACCAAATTTCTCACGTAAATGCTACTGTGGGGGTCTTTTATGACCCCAAAATGAAGGTATCGCGAAAATGTTTCTACAACTGAACGCGACATGACGACTCGATGAGAGTTCAGGACTTCGCATTTTCGGGAAATACCCGAAATATATCGATTGGGGTCAAGTTTGACCCCACGATAGCGGTTGAGGGTTAAAAGAAGTGTTGGATTTAACACTTTTGCTTTTTAGAACTAAATTATGAAGATATTTTTAAATACAGTCTTGTATTATATGAGATAAACTGAACTCACCTAAGGGAAAACAATAAACCGGGGGAAAAGTTTACGGATGACCGCTTTTCGACCGCATTTTAAATTATTCAACCTTAAACATTTTTCCCTAAGGCCAAGCAGTCCCTTTGCTAAATATAATCGACTCCACAGGGGGCAATTTAAATTTTTGACGGTTCTCCCCCTGTTTTATTATTATTAGTTATCAAATGATATTCTGACCTAGATTTGTCTGAAGGTGCGTGTGCGAGGAGATGTTATCGCTTAAACCGCCCGAAAAGTAGTATCCCGAAATCTGTATTTTATTCGAATTTGGCCTCTTCCAGAACCGGCAATTTTCACGGCATTCTAGATCTAGGGACGCCCGATAGCAAGGTAAAATAACGACCAGTTCACGTGACCGCACGACATTAACCACTTACGGCAATAAATATCGACTTTGTATCGCGGCTTTATCAAGTACTACACGGTTTCCTTTATTTTTCCTTTTATCGTTTTTATTTTTTGGGTTTAATTCAGTTTTGATTTCTTTTTCTTTTCAGAATTCTCGAACCGATACCAAATCTCTATGAGGAAATTCGTTGAAATGACACTTAACCGAACGGGACTCGATGTACATATTATATTTTTGTTGACTATTGTTTACAACCAGAGAGACAAATTTTTTTCATTAAGAGTGGTTCAAATTAATTTTTTGAACTTTTTAACCTTGCCAAAACAGGCTGCGAACCTTGTAAATAAAAACCTGTATATAATTTTTATGTATAGTTATATCATTAAGTTTTTATTGTAAATTAATTACTTTTTAATTAAATGTACGAAAAAAAAATCGGAGGATAAACAACCCACAAAAAAAATTTAATAAAAATAAAGTGATTTAAGTTAAAAAAATTTTCTTTGTTGTATTTTTTTATTTTCTTTTTAATTTAATTTGCATTCACCAATCGCTAAATCAAGCTGTTAATTGGAATAAAACGAAGAGAAAGTTTACTGCAAGGAATTTATTAGAGAAAGCTAAAGGTAAGAGGAGTCCTAAAAAATTAACATCGTATTGTTTTAAAACGAATTACTTTACGAAAACGTCAATTTTGTTTTTACAACCCTAATTTCAGGGGAAATCCAACCTTACCATCTTATCTCGGTACCAAAGAACATTTCGTAAC